CGTGGACGCTGCTCTGTGGTCTCCGATGATGCTCCCGGCTGATGTACCCACAGCACAAACCAGCCGTCACCCACAGCCTCGCAGGGAGGACACGGACTCGCTGGAGGCTGAAGCTCCTGCTCGTCCTTGGGGTTCATCCAGCTCCTCGCTGGAGCGGCTCTGCTGAGGGAGCTCAGCCAACTTGGCACGCTCCAATACTAAAATTCACTAAACCAAGCCCAGGCTCCTGGCTCCGTCATTCACAGCTAGAGTGTAATTACAATTAACGTGATATGTAGTCGGTGGCAGAGCTGGAGGAGGAAGGCTAAGCAAAGGAAGCAGTCCCAACTGCCCTTGTACCGATTTCTAACCATTCGAAGCACAGATTTTATGCTTGAAATAAAAACGTTCCTAAATGCAGCAGTGGAGTCTGTCAAGAAAAGCATTTGTCTTGCGAGGTGGTGGTACGTACAGCACAGCTCGGGGTTCCCCTGGCTTTGCTTTACACACGTGCACACAGATATGTACGTGCACGCACACGCAGCGTGCACCCAGGACCAGGAAAGAGGTGCCAAGGCTTCAGCGCGCTCCCTCCTCCAGGCTCAGCACCGTGCACACCACGGAGGTAACGGGATCACCCACTGGGCACAGCAGCTTTGGCTGTTAGCTACGGGCAGTGTTCAACGATTCAAACCGAGCCCCCAGACGCTCTGGGAACGCACACAGGGTCCCTGTCTCCGGAGAACGCGGGGCTGAGCTGCTCCCCCACGCTGAGGACAATAGTCACCCTTTATTTCCTGGGGACGGGGGTTGGTGCGTGTCAGAGCTAGAAGTGATACCCAGCCAGACAGCAACTTCACACCCTCCTTGCACAAACTCATAAATTGAGTTTACAATTTATTGGAAATTGAAATTTCTAGGGAAGCTGGTGCACAGTGAGCTATGCTGCAAAATTTACCGTGTGCTCTGCACAGGAAAAGGTTTAGCAGCTTGTCTGTGGAGGCTCAGGAGATTTAAGTGCATTAATGGAAGGTGTGAGCTGAAAAGGACTGGACAGACTGCGTAGGCCCCTGGCAGATCTGCCTTTATTCAGTTTTCAGTGAGCTGAACGAAGGATCAAGTTTCCACAACTATGAATGTATAGCTATATAAAAATCAGTAACAGAAAATCAGCCTCTTCATGCACTGCTACGACAACGTTAGAATGTGAAGTCAGACTTGCACACAGTCCGTTATGTAGAGAAATTCAATGGCTTTAAAAAGCCCCTCTGCCTGATGGAGAACACATCCAACCAGGGATGTTATTCTGGGAACAGCAGCCCACAGAAAGCACAGGCAGAGAGCAGCAGAGGCAGAAAGGTACTGCAGGAAACACTGATACAGTTGCCCATCAAAACAAGAACTCAGCCTCAACCGCGCCTTGTCGCCTCTGAAATGACAAGAGACCTTGCTTAAAATACAACAGAACTCCCTTCCGAATGTGACTGCCTGAGGTACTCACACTGCCACTAATGTAAGTAATTAATTGAAACAACTGTAATAGGAAAAGAATGAAAACTTCTTTCAGTGAAGAAGAAAAAGGGCAGGAATATTTTGAGTTTTAGCTGCAAATAATTATTTTAAGCTCAACAATTAAAATAAGTCAACAGGATTATTCTAAAATTTAATACTTTTTTTTTCCCCCAACATTGAAAAGTCAGCATCATACAAAGGGGTAAGGAGTTCACTGCAGGACTCCAGCCCACACCCTGACAATAGAAACCCGACCAGACTTAAGCCTACGTTTCTCTGATGCTCTGATGTTAAGCTCAGGATTCACGTGGCAGGGGAGCTGCACCTGGTTTGTACTAACAACTCAACCCAACCTTTCCATAGTTATCTTTTTCTGGGAACAAGCATCGCGGAGCATCGTCTCTGCCTGCTACCCGCTCCCGCATGCCAGGGCACCGACTTCTGTGCTCACAGGAAAAGCTGTTTTTACAGCACAGGTGGCAAATAGACCTGTAAAAACCTGTGGATCCTGGCGGGATGACCCCAGCTGATGGAGCTGCGCTGGCTTTGCTGCTGCGGGCTGGCTCAGGAACACGCGTTTCAAACTGCTGTACCGCGACTTAGCATTTTTAGGGACGTACTCGCGTTGCCTTAGCCGGGTACTGCTGCTGGAAAGAGAATGACACTGAGCTTGCGTGGTGTTCACTGGCACAGAAAACCTACACAACACACCCACAAGAATTTCTAACCCCCTTAAAAAGAAAAAAAAAACCAACCGAAAACCTAAAGACATTTGTTGCAATTTTTAATTTTGCTTCAGCTTCTGGCTTTCGTCATTCAAATCTGACAATCAGAAAATTACTGAAGAAGATTAAAATATAATCTGAAGGAATAGTTTGTGAGGGTTTTTTTAGTTTGGGGTTTATTTTGTGCAGGAAGTGTGTGTATCAGGGTGTGTGCACTTAAGAGGGAGATCTCAACACATCAGAACAATTCCAGACCAAAAACTGCCGAGCCATAAGCACAACACACTAGGAGGCCAATGAGATTAGTCACTCATACATTTGGTATATGCAGCATCAAAATGCCAGGATGCCACACCCGGCACTGCTAGCCAGCCGTTCACAAGCCAGGTCTGTCCACAAACCTGTCAGACGTTCTCGTAGCCTAAGTATGGCTTAGTTCTGCCTGCACGGCCCGGAGTCTTCACTCCTGCTCAAAAACTACTGCAGTTGAGGAACAAAGTTCTAGTACTGCTGAAATCACTGTCAGACATCAACAGCAACAGGATTTCATCTCGTTTGTTCTTGTAAGACAAGAACACAGACAAAATCTGTAACGGCCCAGCCGTAATTTCCCTCTGGTGACAGCGACAGGCGACAGAGACCGATCAGCACCTGCACTGCTGCTGAAGGGCATCTCCCCCACCACCCCAGCCTGCTCCGGGCCAGAGCGGGGGCTCTGCTCGCCACCCCGCCCGCTCTCAGGCTTTCAAAACCAAACCCACGTTGGCAGAGAACATCATTAAGCGGCAGATTCACGTGTCCAGACAGCGCAATGACATGGTCCCTGTAGCTCCCACTGCCGGTGGCGATACGCTGGGGTTGGCGGGAGGCTGGGGGCACAACTCCCCCAGCAAGCCACTCACCTGTTTTCCAACGGATGCTGGAAAACGCACTGCTGCGCCAAGAGCTTCAGAGCAAACCCGTGCCTTTTCACCAGCGAGCTACGCAGAGCAGGGGACGGCAGGGTTGTGATCCTGTCTGCGCCCAACCTGCCGCCACGCCGGTATTACCAGAGCTGCGCCGCTGCCGCAACGGGGGTAAGAAACGGCAGACGCGGGCCGGAATTCGGTTTGTCGTGATCGTTTTTCCTAAGGTAGAATAGCTGGGGCCCGAACAAAAGTCAGTCAGAGAACTTGGCACAGTAAGGGTGAGGCTTGGGAAAGCCAGAGAGCAGACAGATGTACACACGGACACCAGCGGTCAGCGCTGAGGCTAGAACATCGACAGAGTAAAGCACACTTCCCGGTAGAAAGCTGTCGCACTTCAGATCATATTAAAGTATTTAAATAAAACCAACCCAAACCATCAAGCCACTGACAGGCAGAAACTCGGAGGTTACATATTCGCACCGGTCCTCTAAAGAGCCAGAGTGACATGCCCTTTTCGCCCCGTCTTCTTGACTCTGAAAAGCCCTGTATTTTGGGAGACAGTCAAGCTGCCGAGCCAAACACCACGCACACAGCCCTATTTACTGTCCTCTCAGCCTGCCAGGCTTCTCAGCACACCCAGCGTGGGGTACAAATACTGTGTGTTTATGAAAAACAGTTACTCTGGTAGAGTAGCAAATTTCTTCTCCCCTGGTCACTGAATACCAAGCAGAATTCACGAGCAAGTGTTTTTAAGATCAGGCCTCCGAAGGGACAGTCTGGAGGGTGAATGAGTTTTCCTCATGTAAAAGCACCTCGATTCGCAGACCTTCAGCGTTTTCATGTCCAAATGAAAGCAGTAGCACTCATCGGGAGAAGGGAAGCATTCCGTAAACTGTTCTAGGAGGAGGATATTGACGATTTGGTTAATGAAGTCACCACTAACCCACTGCTTAAATCCAGACTTCGACCTTCTTTTTCCTAGAAAAATGGAGGAGAAAGAAACCCTTGACTCAATGCTGGTTTGGAATGAGCAGTTCCAAAAACATGAAGCAGGCAATTCACGTCCTATGTGTTACATCCCATCGACATAAACTGACATGTTACCTGAGCAGCTACGATTGCACACAGCTTGCTCTGAGACTTGAAGATGTCTAGCAGAGCATTCACTTTCTCCCACTCCTATCCGTAGATGGACCCAAACTGCACGCTGACATTGCGCAGGGATCCCTGGGGTAAGGTGGCTGACAGCCACGCGGCCAGGTCAGAGCAGAGGCTTGCTTATGTCTGGTCAAGAATTCAGGCTCACCCAGTGCTCAAGGAACTAGTGAAATCCATCTCCTGTGGTTTGTCTCTCAGGTGACCCCAAAGCTGCAAATCCCAACTGAAATCATCCCTGCTGCTGAGACACAGACTCCTTCTCTCTGCTCAACCTGTCCCTGTTCTCACCAAACGTACAGGGGTGGGGCGTGGGGTCTGACACCGAAGCCGACTCCGGCTCCTTTGTCAGATGTGACCGGCAGACACTGGGGAGTGCTTACAGGTATTGCATCCCCCAGGGAAAAAAACTCATTCAAAAATCTTAATACTTGTATTTGTTTCTGGACAGAGAGAAGGAGAAATACAAATGGAATAGCTTAGAAAGCTATTTTGCATTAGGCAGGGAGAAAAAATACAAATTAAGAAAATGTACCGCAGAACGGTCAAGGGGGGCGGAACAGACCCCTGGAGGTCACCTGGTCCACACCCCCTGCTCAAGCAGGGCCACTCAGGACCATGTCCAGGTGGCTTGTGAACATGTCCAAGGATGGAGACTCCACAACCTCCCCGGACAACCTGTGCCAGTGCTCGGTCACCCACACAGCAAAAAGGTTTCCCCTTAGGCTCAGTGGGAAATCAAGGTTCAACGACATGTGTGTCTTCTGAAGAACTGCTCCACATTCCAGCTTCACTCACATTTTTCCAGAAATCACTAGATGTGCACATTTTGAGTTTAAATAGCCACCCAGTGAAGTTATTTTCCTTTTGACCCCATACAGCCTTTGAATAAATGCTGCTACCTACTGGAATAACACTGCCTTTGGTGCTCTCCAGCCGAGCTACACAAAAACAATAGCCATTATGCCAATGAAAATAAACAGTGTGACATACTCACAGCTCTGTAATCCAAGAACATTTCTTTGAAAGCCAGAAAGTCAGTAAACGTGAGAAGCATATCAAATATATCCCCTGCTATTTCATCTTTGTGCTGTCTGTAGAGAGAAGAAGTTGGGGAATTAGAGAACTGTGTGGTAAATAAAAGGAGACCAGGATGAGTAGAACGGTATCAGAATTTACAGAATGTTATTATGGGTCTTTCCTAAAGCAAAACTTCAGCCAAATGTGAGCCTGCAGTACTCCTAACCCATGTGCACTGATAGATTTCTTTACGCAAATCCAAGATGCAAGAGCATCGCATCAGTCCCGGAAAACCAGCAGCTCACCTGTAAGTCAGCAGAAGTAACACTCAGCTGGCATTTATCTATCTACCTTGAGCACTGAAACGGCTCGACAGTCCCTTGGAAGGTGAGAGAGGCTGGGGCGAGGCACAGAACGCTCACGCATAACCCCTAAGAATGAGGGGCCGTCCTGGCAACACTTGGTAGAGGACTCCTGATGAAAACATGTTGGAAGAAAGACTTCGCTCCAGTATCGGCATATTTCACCAGGACACTCAAAAGTCAAGGGCTGGGGGTTTTAAACCATTTAATTCTTATCAGGAGAAGCTTTACTTTACACAGTCTATCTTTCAGGCATCCTGTGTGTATTCACAGAAACTTGCCAATGTTTTATTTTTAAAAATTAAATAGATTTGAATATTGTAAGATGTTCAGTTCCCAGCAAGACTTGATTTTCTTGCTCAAGGGGAAAACCAGGGATTTTTCAAAAGTGACCTCTCCGTAAAGGTGGTTAAGCTAAAGGACCAAACGCAAAAGCTTAAGACAAGTCAGACTTTTCTCTGAAGGCTTTCTACAAAGTTTACAATAAAGACATTACAGCACATGGCTGCTGAAAGACTACGAGGCTGTTTAAGTGTCCAACACAGAGCCTGAAAGGGAGAGAGGAGATCCAACCTTTTAAGGGGCTGGCTTCATAGTGATAATGGTGGAAAATCATAGAATCATAGAATGGTTTGGGTTGGAAGGGACCTTAAAGATCATCCAGTTCCCCCCCCCCTGCCATGGGCAGGGACACCTTCCCCTAGACCAGGTTGCTCCAAGCCTCATCCAGCCTGGCCTTGAAGACAGCCAGGGATGGGGCATCCACAGCTTCTCTGGGCAGCGAAAACCCTTCAGTCCTCTCATTCCAATTCCTTTTCCTACCCCTTCAACCTGAGTACATTTCAGTGTAACAGTTCAGAAATTCAGAGTAGCACAAGAGGCTGAAGGCAAGTTCAGTCATTGCAGGCACCAACACTTCTTTTTAAATTACAGAGGAACCTCCTGCAAAAGGGAGAACTGTCAAACCTACGTTTTAATCTAGATAATGGAGCAGCACATAACCTGTCCCCAGCCAAAAGCAAAGCAGAGACTTACTGCAATGACATGGTGAAAGCAGTCATATTAAACCCGGGAATCCGATCCAGCAGTTTTTCTTCGATGTATTTCTCTACTAAAGAGATCTGGGAAAAAACCAAACAAACCACGCAGACATCATCGTGAGAGATTTCAGGAGTGGGTTTCAAAACAGTGCATCTTCCTCACACCGACACCGTTGCGACACTCCGCATTATCCTCACTGGGCAAACACCCGCAGGTTCCTTGGCTGGATGGTGGCAGTTTGATTATTCACACCACCTCTGAAGCACGGAGCAGGTGGTTTTTGCTGGAAATACTGGTAAGGACAAAACATCTGAAGAAGTTTTCAGGGGAAACAAAGAGAAAGGAACCTAGAGCTCCAGCAAACGTCTTTCATGCTCACAGATCGTGATAGAGAGAGCAGGCAGCACGTTGGCTCTGCTCCGTGTAAACCCAGTATTTTATAAAGGGGGCAATACAGGACCTCATGTTGGCCTTAAAAAAAGCCAAAAAAGGAATACATGCAAAATATAGGAAAAAGTATCTTACGTATTCATTAAAAATAGAAGTGTAGATGAGCTTGTTCTCTTCTGAGTCATCAAACTCCTGGTAGTGCTTCTCCATAAAAGTCCTCTGTATTAACTGGAAGTCATCATCTGGGCCACAACAAAAGCACATCATACAGTTAGGAGTTCAGTCATTCTTTTTGTCACACAAACCCCTCCATTCACTAGCCCTCCGCGTGCCTGCTGTAAGCACGGAGCCCTGCACACGTGCAGGGTCGGTCACAGCGGCACCGCAGCTGCCGCCGAGCCACCATTCCCGACCCATCTGGGAGAAGAGAGAGGCTGCCAGCGGCGGGCATCCCTGTGCCAGCGAAGGGAGCAGCATTCCGAGAGCAGCTGTGTATTCCCAATGCAATGGGACAAACCCCTTTTTGTTCAGGCTCTTAAGTTAGCAAAAATGATCATCTCTTCCCTACCCTCTTCAAAATAGTTTTTTCCCCCCCTGAACTCAAAAATATTAGTGAAACTCCCAGATTTTTCTCCAGCTGATGAGGATTCTTTTTGCAGTTGTGGAACAAAACAAAAATAAAAATGAACACAGTAGTTACCACCAGATTCAACAGAACAGGTGTAAAGTTTGCTTAGATAGTGTTAAAATACAGCAGTCTCAGCTTTGTAAACCCTAACACATTCAAAATTATTTAGGCAGCATTTCTCCAGATTCAACTGCATCACCAGACAAACTGAGGCTGCAGAATCCACATCCCTCTGGGAAGGAGGTGGTCAGAAAGATCATATGCTGTCCTTCTGAGGCAGCTGACGGCCGACGAGCATGAATTTTGTCTGGGCACCTTGTAAACTACTTCCTTGCACACGCTCAATTTTCACTTAAAAATTACGGCCCTGAGAATTTAGCACTTTTTACTGCCCAAGCTCACACGAGGAGGTTGGTCCTGCCATCTCCCTGCTGTATGAGGACATGAAAGTTACATGCCACCAAATCAGCTTGGGACAGCCTCAGAAAGTGAGAAGCGGTGGGTGATGACACCCACCTCCAGTTACACCATGCTGCTGCAGACAGAGGAAACCAACGGGTCTCTGTGTTCAGCAGAGACAGGGCAAGGAGCAGGGCAGAGCTGGGAAAGGGCAGGCCACCTCTCACAGCCTCTTCTGTCCCCTTTATAAAAGGGTGTAAAAATTCCAGAAAGCTTTGATTTCTACGTGAGACTTACAAGTGCCTTTACAGCTTCTTTATGAAGCAGCATTACCTATTATTTTGGCTCTGTATGTCTGCTAACCGAAGAGCAGCGTGCAACACGTCACGCACCCATCTTGCTGTCTGTGACTACTTGCGGAGCTTACCCATTATAATATCCTCCAGATACCCAACAACTGCATCAAACTCTGCGTCAGAAGGGGAGGAGCTGAAAGCAAAGGAAGACGGTACTGCATAAATATGTATTTCAACCCCAGAAATAACATTAAAAAATGTTAACAAAAGCTGAAGCACAAACAAGCCCAGTAATTACAAGGTAAGTGAATCATTTCCACCTACAAAATAATACCCAACACTCAGGATAAGATTGCTTCGTGGGGATTCTCATCAGGCTTCTACTGGGACTGCCCCCCAGTAATGTTCCTAATTAAAAAAAAAAAATTAATGTTGTTTTACTGGCATCACTATCAAGGTAATCCCAGTCCTGGTGCAGAAGGATGTAAAGAGTGTAAATTAGAACAGCAAATTAAGCATTTTCCAACCTACAAATCCCACCTGCTACCACAGGCTTTCCTGGCATAACTCTGCGTGGCGATCGCAGAACTCTGGACACTCTGGAGAAGACTTTGAAATACTTGGTCCTGGGGAACCACTTAATGTCAGTGTATACACAGGATTATACAACTGAAGAAACTTAAATATTTTTCTTATGCAAGAAACGTCCCGGCGTGCTACAGACAGATGGCATAATTCCCTAAGGTCATTCGATCATCAGCAAATATTAAACACTACTGTGGATCTGAAGTCATCCAGGGAAGAAACCTCTGGTACCAGCATTTCAGAACTCTGGATCCCTCTGCTAAATCTGTTACTGTGCAGCTTGTTCAAACACATTAGACAACCCACAGGATCGCCTTGACCTTGGCATTCAGAGCTCGTCTTTAGTAGGGAAAAAAATCTCCAGGAGATGAAAGAAAGGCTTTTCTCACATGTGAGGGAAACAAGACTCGCAGGACATTTGTCTTTAAGAAAAAAGTTAGCTTTGACCAGCGAAAACACCATTTAAATTAATTTAAATGTCTAATTCTCTTTCAAATTTCTCTTTACAAAAAAACCAGAA